CAGATGTTAATATTCAGATGTAATGGCAGTTTATTGAGTAATTGGGTGCTAATAAATGATAATAAACACAGTTGTTACAGTTTGGATTTAATCAGCGGTGGAAATTGTCACTAAAATGTAAAAAAAAAAATTGAAATAATATGTATAATGTAATTGCTCAGTTGTATATAGCTCAGGTCAGGGGGCTCTGACAGTTTTGACCTCAGAATGAGTTGGTCAAAGGAACAAAACGGAGAAATGTGCCACAAATGAGGATGTATAAGACATTTTGTATGAAAGGAACTCTTACATGATAAGACACGTTCCTGATTATTTAAGCTTTTCCTAACACCCTGATTTCTATCTTCCTGCAGTAGAAAAAGAGTCATATTGTTAAGGTGTAATGTTCCCTGTCTGAATGAATTAAGAATATATTGTTTTTTGCTGGCCCATCTGCATGAACTCTGGCTCAGTGCCAGGGTAATACAGCATGTTATTGGGATATTAACAGTGAGCAGAAAGACAGGGGACTGTATGTGCTATAAGTAATCCCCTCTGGGTTTCTGGTGTCTTCCTCATCACTATTACTTTCCTTATTCTCTTGTTGTTTTTTTGGGAAATCTGACCTTTTAGAAGTCTGTTTTGCTCATAACGTATAAATGCTTGTCTTTGGTGGGAATTTCCCTCCCATGTGGAGAATCAGAGTCAGAGGTAGCTAAAAAAATAGGAATGATGAAGTCACGGGAGGACGAGAGGGAGTGTCACTGAACTGTAACATCCAATCCTAATAACAAATCGGCAGTGCCTTATTAATCCATAAAGATGACCTAACAATGACCTTTCTTTGTGCTGATCTAAAATTCCCTGACCTGATCTGTGTTTTTAAAACAGTCAGCTTTCTTTTACGTCTGCAGTCTTCATGCAGCACCTCAGGCTGTTGATAAACCGCTTACACTCGTGTCAGGTAGTCATGAAAATGTAGTACTACATAGCTTTGCAGGACGCTAAAGCATTTACAGAAGTGTGTCCAATTTCTCACAGCACTTGTATTACATTATAAATCTGGTCGTGTATGTTGAGGGTTCACACAGGAGCATGATCAAGTGCATGTGTTGAAGGTTTTTTAATTACCTTAAACACTGACATTCATCTCAGCCACACAAAAATGAATAATTTACATAAAGATTAAAAAATTTTTATTTCATATTGGAGATATGGAGATATTGTTCTGATATGTATCGCAATCATATTTTGGCCTTATCACACACTTCCTCAGACTCGTTATCTTCATCATCCTTCTCTTCTATGTTCCAGATAACAATTGCTTCCATTATCAATTCATCTGCCATAAAAAATGGAAATCTTCGTATTTGAGACTCCGAAAACAGCATTTTGTGCCCCATTTCGCACACTAAATTACGTTCACAATCAAGCAGTTATCTCAATAGTTAACAGTCATTTTTCTGCTAATTAGTTATTGGATTATCCAACCAATCATTGCAGCTCTTTCTTCATCCTACGGTTTCTCTTTCTGTCCATCTGTACAGTAATCTTCCTCTCTCCTTCTACAAAAAACACGTAAGCATACTAAAGCATGTTGCTATGCACCACACACACCACACACACACACACCACACACACCACACACACACACACACAGCAAAATAAAGAATTGACCGGAATCACGCCGCAACTTTCAACAGCCCACCTTCTCTTTAGCCCAACTCACAACATAACATTTATCATTAAAATGTGTTTTGGAATATTAAAGCTAGTTTGTTCATGAGTTATAGCTGCCAAACAACTATGAAATCATTCTGAAATTCACCCTTTACTAGCCATTGTTATTAATTATCAGACTTCTACATTTTATTTTATTTTATTTTACGAGACCATTTTATGAGAATACTTCAACTGGCTATCTTTTCCGTTTGTTATAAAGGGAATTAATTCTACAATGGGTCATTAGGATCCAATCTAGGTACATCTACAAGGAAACTTTCAGCTCATAAAAATACTCATAACTCTTTATTAACTTTGTCTGCATGATTTTCTCTTACTCAGCCGAATGGAAAAGTTTCCCCTCGGTGCCTTCTTCTATCCGGCAGTATTTTCTAAATCTCTTAAAGCTGCATCAGTATTCTAAAAGAAAGATGATGAGATTCAATATATTCAAACAGGCATCAGTACTCTGGTGGAAACTGGAGGAAGGGAGATGGCTCTGTCCAAGCATTAGCAGCCTAACAGAATCTGTGAACAAAGGGGAAATCAGCTTGAATAGAGCTTTCACATAAGATTAACTGTTGAACTTTGACACGTAAAATTGTGCTGTTGATTAAATGCATCTTGACTGTGCTGACCTTGGAGAAAATCCAGAAAACCATCCAAAATCGAGAAAATCATATTAGCAGTGTCACACCATCTAATTTAATATAACTGTGTTCTGCTGAATGAGAAGCAACCCTGACCCTTTGGCCACAAATGAACTAAGCAGTGGCTTCCACCACATGACCTGAACATTGTGTTCACTTATATACATTTCCAGGATTAACTATTTTATGAAGAAGAGGAAAGTAATTTCAATGCAATTTTGTTGTTTGAACTGGCAAGGATCGGATGTAGAAGGTGCTGAATAATTTGTGGTATAAACAAATAGCAGGATTATTTCTTTTTGAAAAAGACCATGGGAAGCTAAATAAACTCACTGCACTCAGCTGTACAGCAAAAGTAGTTTGATTATGCAACTGGCTGAGAGACGTAATCATCTTTTTAATCAGTACATTTATTAAACTGCTCTCAACTGGTTTTTCTGTGTGATGGCATCAACATTGGCTCTCAACAGAGTGGTGTAGGGATGATGTTTTTTTTGTATTTGTAAGTTGAAACACAAGGGTTCCTTCAAACAAAAAGCAATGTTTTTTTTTTCATTCTTCAGAATTTGAAGAAAATGTGATATTTGGCAAGACTAGGATGCCACACGTTTTGTATGGAAGGATAATCTCAACAAATCAACACCACTTTTCTGATTTTTGAAGTTTAAATGCCTTTGCCTGAAGTAAATATCTAACATGCAGCTGTAAAACTACAGCTATCCACACCACCAGTGCTAAGCTAACGGTGGACTCGTGTTTGATGATGTTGAGGTGTCTCCTTTACTCACTCATCAGCAAAGGCTATTTATATGATACATAGAAGCTTTGGACATTCACCAGTAGGTTGTTTACTGACTTGTTTTATGTCCAAGAACATACATTGATAATCTCTTTAGCTTGTGTTTACCACAGGTCCTATATGCGGGATCTAACCAAAAACACTTTAAAAAAACAATTAACTTTGAGATGAGGTTTAGTGTGGATCTGTTTGCAGGAAAGTCTTGTCAGAATTTAGACTGACACTCACCAATGATAGCTTTGATATAATACTTTAAAACCAACAGTTGCACTGGAGGGTGTGGTTCATTTGCAAAAACTGTAACTCAAGAAGGCCCCCACGCACAATTATATCATGATCATATAATGACCCTTACACTGAGCAAAAGTAACCTTGTCCATACAGGATTCTTATGCAGTGATTTGAGCAAATAAACCACAGGGGTTGGAAATAAGCTGCAGGAAACTGGTTAATAGGAGTGAATATGGCCTGTCGAGTGCAGCCTGCAGACTCCTCTAAGCATTGAGTGGGCAATGAGTGTTTTTATTAATGTAATACAGGCATTTCACGTCATTGACGGTGAAATGCGGACCACTATTGCGGTAAGCATGTTGTAACTTCCGGTTGTTGTTGTCATCTCCGGGTATCCCGTGTGCCTGTTCTGTTGCTGATAGCTTATTATCTTAACTTAATCGATCATTTTAAAACTCTTGATCACGGCAACTGCCTGACGTTGTAATCACACGTTACTACAGCTTAAGCACTCACAAACTCTCCTTCTCTTAGCGACTGTAACTCCACAGTTGCCTACACTCTTTTCGGGTTTGCTAACGGCAGCTACTTTAGCTTGATAGCTAGCCATGGCTCTTTCCCCACCCTCGGGTGCTATTTCCTGCTCTAACTGTCTCATGTTTGGTTACTTCCCTACCTCCTTTACTGGTACCGATACATGTGTTAAATGTAGTATAGTTGTTAGGTTGGAGGCGGGAATCATAGCCATAGAAGCCCGGCTCCGCATCTTAGAAAATAACTCAGCTACAGTAAAGCCCATGTTAGCCGGTGCGGACCGGCAAAAGGTAGCTCCTCTTAGCCGTCCCCCGGCAACTCCCGAGCAGCAGGGAGGATTGGGTGACTGTTCAGAATGGGCATAAACGCGGAAACCCGCAGGTCCCACCGACCCGTTCACGTATCCTAACCAGATATTCCCCACTCACAGACACCCGCTGAGAAGCCAACTTGGTTATTGGTAGCTCTATTATGAGACACGCTGAATTTAAGACCGGAAGCGTCCACAGTCACATGCAATTCGGGGGCCACGAGGCGGGCGACGTTGAGGCGCATTCTTAACTTCTGGCTAAAAAATAACGTAAATACAGTAGGGATTGTTATTCACGCGGGTGGTAATGATGTTTCGTTCTACGCCAATCAGAATGCCACCAAACTTAATGTTGGCGTCGGTGTGTAGTTATGCTAAAACAGATGTACACACACACATTCTCTGGTCCCCCCAAAATCTGATCAATGATGACACGTAGATATAGCCGCATGTCACTCATTTCAGCGCTGGTGTCTTGGTGGTGCCCAGCAAACAATGTGGGCTTCGGTAAATAATTGGACAGCCTTCTGGGGAAACCTGGTCGATTAGAGAGACGCATTTCATCCTACTTTGAAGGTGCAAATCTCATCGGCAAACATTTCCAGGGGCTTTGTGGACTTAGATCCATGACAAACTGGAGTTGGAGACCCAGGAGGCAGAGTCGCAGTCTACACGCTTCTCTGGCGCTCTTCCTAGGCAGTCATCCATAGGCAATCCCCGAACCCAATAAATAACCCAATTTAACGGTGTGTGTTGTCTGCCCAAGACCGGTAAGTAAAACCTAATAGAGTTCATACATAATACCCTAATAAAACGTAAAATGTAACAACTACTAACAGTGCAACAAAACCAGTAAGAATTAAATGTGGTCTCTTAAACTAGATCTCTAGCATCTAAAAGCGAATACTGGTAAATGATTAATATCAGATTATAATATTGTACCGTATATGCTGTCTCACTGAAACTGTGGTGAGACATGAAGAATACGGTCAGCATAAATGAGGGCCACTCCGAGCCCAGCCATACAATACTCATACATTGCCCGCGGGGAGCACGGGCCGAGGCAGGTGGAGTTGCAGCCAATCTTTTTGACTCAAGTTTACTCTATCAATACCCTAAACAAAAATTAAATTATTACCTCCTTGAAGCGTCATTTTAGTCTTACGCATCCGACCTGGAAAACTTTGCAGCCAATCTTCATTGTGTACACCTGTACCGTGCACCAGGTCCTTATTCAGAATTCCTTATCGACTCTTGAGTTTTTATCAACTTTGGTACTTAAAACAATAGAGTAAGGCTATCGTAGGTGTGACTTTAACTTGAATTGTCAT